GTCACACAGGTCGGTTTTGAAGGAGCAGAGAGCCACCACCTATCGCAACAGTCTGTGTATCAGCATATATACTAGGACACTTCCAATTGTTGACTCTTAGTATTTGATGCACAATTTGCCGACCCTCGATGCCACCTTCTTTGGGAATCATAAGTCATATATACTGGGAAACTTCTTATTATTCTCTGTTAAACTGGAGCAAATTCAGCAATGAATCAGGATTTTGATATGCTGATAAATGCACAAATTTCATTTTATTTATTGCCTAGCAGAATCAATTTACTTTCTTTCCATCTTTTCGAGCTATTGACTCTGTATACGGAACTGCAAGTATTAAACTTTTTAGTGAATTGTTCTATACTACAAGATGCCAAAGTTATCTGACCGGACTGAATCTTCCAACTTGATTCTCCAAATTACGTATGACCGAAATAAAACTTCCAAATTAGAGTACCAAAACACCTAGCACAGTGGCAATACATCATCAAATCGAAGTTATTATGCATCGTTCACTAAGAAGATTTGACATGAACAAAAAATAGAACGAGAGATGCAACATAGATCAACTTGATAGTAAAATTGGGATGTAGCACAAATTTACTAGCAAATAAAAATCAGCATCTATTTACCAGGAAAAAGAATCACCTCGTTGCACGGCCCGGATGGGAAGGAGCCGAGGAGACCACCACCGGCTTGCTGCCGACTAGGGGGAGGAGGACGCGGGTTGTTAATGGGTATGGAGGGAGAGAGGGGGAGGGAGAGAGAGGCGACAAACCCACCGGTGTAGGAGCTTTAGAAGGGAGTCTGCGACAAGCACACCGTGGGGCGGAGGCTGTTGTTGATGAGCTCCGATTTGGTCCGCCTCGAACTGGGCCGCTAGCCACACAACGACAAGGAGCCATCGGGAGAAGGAGCATCACCTCTACTAGGAGCGCTCGCCCAACTTGGAGTATGGATTTGGGCGGCCGCCACCGCCGCCGCCCTCGGACAAGATTTGGTTCGTGCGCTGCCTCTGCCCACGGGATTTGGATTTCGATGAGTTGGGGCATCGGGACCAAATTAGGTATCAGGTAGGGACTATTTTGCACACACAACACCGCACCCAAATCTGGGCCATCAATCTCCGATCCAATGGAACAGATCCAGTTTTTTTATTTTTGCACCACAGGCTGCTTTTCTATTGTAAAAGCAGCTTGTGGTGCAAAAATGGAAAAACGAATCTGGGGCATCAGATCCATTGTAGAAAGTACAAATTCAAGTGGAGGGATCCCAAGCTACTTAATGTGCATTTTATGAAAACCCTCCTGCTAGTAGTTGACGTCAAGTAGACGTTTGCAATAACCACCTCCACTTTTCATGTCCAAACGATTTGGTTCTTAGTAAATTGTAATATTGCCATATCTTCAGTGTTCATGCCAGCTCCCTCCCTTTGCACATATGTATTACATGTCAAAGATATTTGAGTAAATGGAAAATTTAAGCCAACCTCTACATGGCAAACTAGACTACCAACGGCACTAATATGTGCCTACGTTTAAGCTGAAGCATCCCAGGAAGAGGAAATTGGGTATACATGTTTAAATCGAAAATGCTACACCTACGAAAGACTAAAGACTAACGTAAGGTTATGAAAATTTCCAAACTTAATCTAAACATTCCCCCCCCCCCCTGATTTTCAGGGGGGTGGGCCCCTCATTCCCCTAAACATCAATCCTATTCTTTCATGTTGGCTGATACGTAAACTTAAGTAGCTCCTTTACGTAAGTGTAGCATTGCCGTGTTTAAATGGACCATTCTAGGCACAAATGCTTGACTGCATGTCAAACTGGACGGTGGTATCCTTCCTTGGTTGCTTGCTTGTCCTCTGCGCGTTTTCGTATATGTAGACGTAATGCGATCCCATGACTGATTAGATTATGATTCTTGGATTGAGACCCATGGCTTCATGGTGACATACATATAGAGGATCGATGGGGCACGAGCTGTGCATCCATGGATGAACAAACTCGTTTCCAAACCGCCAGAGTTCCAACAAGCCCAACAGGACAAATGACGGTTCTTCTCTTGTGAGAACTTGCTCCGAAATTCCTCCGGATCTGACGGTACTTCTCTTGTGAGAACTAGCTAGGAGTCTTATTCTCCTGTCTTGGGCGAAAAAGATACTCGGTGTTCTGTTAAAAAAAAACTCAGTCTCACGCATTATTAGGGGTCGTCTGGTCTATCAAAAGTCATCACGTGCCTCACACCACAACCCCACTCTCCTCTCCGTCCATACAACAGGGCGGAAGGCCGCTGCTATTTGGCAGAAGAAGTGATTAAAACAAGTTTTAGAAATCCGGCCCAACTTGTGATAGTTGCTATTTTGTGGAAACAAGGGAACATCACATGATAAAATATAGACAAATAGCAACACTATTTGGCAAAAGGACATTTGAGGCATATCATTGGATGGACAGCTCTCGTATCCGTGTCCGTGGATCGATAATGAGTCCGATTTGATGGACAATATTGAAGATGCCCTAAGGTTTGTATTGCCCGTACATTAATTTTGACATTTTTATTGAGTAATACAATATTGTTTTGTGAAATATATCTTCCAACTGTAAATGTTGTCAAGGTCACATTATCAACAAAACCACTCAAAACAGTCAAAGGGACTTTTTAGAGTTGAGCAACCATTTATAAACTCCAAGCAATGACCG